AAAGGGTTGTTCCTTTTCCAGTTGAAGATGAAGAATTTGAAAAGCCTGTTTATTCTGTGCACTCTCTTTACTGCAACTCTTAAAAGTCACCCCATCAGATTTCAGGCTTATTCTCACTTCTTCTTACATAATTTTCTTTCTTCCTGACATATTTAAATTGAGAAATAACCACCTGCTGAAATCAATACTGAAAACTAAGATAATGGTAGTTATTTTTAGTAAGAATATCATCACACTTCTAGTCACCATCTCAAAATTTTCTGACTGGTAGAGAAAAAAAAAATAAAAAACACTCATGTTTCACAGCTAAAATCAAAGGTCTATACATAAGTTTACCTTTCAAGACAATGGATTCCACTTAATGACCACATTCAACCACTGATTAAAAGCAAATTCTTCCGTTCTCCAGACATGAGACTCTCCAGAAAGCTCTGGACTCTGGAACTCCCCATGTTCTTATTTCCAAACCAATATAAAATCACTTTCACAGTTTTTTACCCCTCCCCTATAGTATCCTAAAATGTAGGGTTTGACTGCTCTTACACATTGAAGATGTAGTACTTCTAATAACATCACAATATTTCAAAAGTAATTGCATAGCTATTTCCTACTGGCACCAGTTACAAAGAAATTAAGTCTAAAAAAAAAAGAAAAAAATGATTATGAGTTTTTCTTCATGTCAATAATCCACACTAAGATTGATGACAGTAGATTTCAATTTTAAGTTATGTAATCATTCCATATGGTGGCTGTCATATATAAAAAGTTGAATTAAACTACCCTCTGTGCAGGCAATTAGCAAAATTTTAGCAACTAAGTATTTCAAAATAATTTATTGCAATAGTGAGGTTGTTTTGGCAAGAAGGTATATCAGATGTATGGAACTTGAAGCTACTAGGTTTGCAAAAATTAAAAAGTACGTCTCTGTTGGATGCGTTCATACATGCAGGAAAGTCTATCTGCATCAGCAGGTAAAGCTAATGAAGAGAGCATATTCCACAAATATGCATTTCAGCTTCTACATTTTGCATAAAAAGTAGTCTTGTGTTTTGGTCTAGTGAATCTGTCAAAGAAAAATTTATATGAACATCTCTAAGAAGAAGTTACTATATAATCATACTACATGATTCAATCATTTAACAAGCTTGAGAACATTAATGCCAAAATGCCATTCCTTTCCTTGCATCATCTTGGTTATTTGCAGCTGGAAAGGATCAGCTTTTCTTCTTGAAGTGTCCATATATATTAAACAAGTGTTTAATAACATCTATCTGCAGATATTAAGGTGGAAGAGGGTTTCAGATCTGCATTAATCCACTGTGATATGATAAATCAGATTACCAAAGAGTTTTTAATTGTCTTAACCTCTCTCTTACTACTTTTATGCACATTCAGAGAAACAAAGAATGACTCGTTCACCTGCTTCAGGCAATGAATAGCACCTGGCTGAACTGCAAAATTGTCTGAGCCCTTAATTTCATCAACATTATCTCACAAATCAGGCAACAATCCAGAAACATGGCATATCTAAATCAGACTGCAAATAAAAGGCAAAACTAAAATCGTTAAGGCAAACCGAGCAGTGTCCATGTGCTGTGCACCTACAAGCCTCAAGATCAAGATGTTGTGTATGAGGCCTTTCAGATGAAATGAGAATGCAAGTAAACTGAGAAATGCAATACTGTAAGTTATTACAGCACTGTACTGCTCAGAGATCCCAGCTGAGATAAAAGCACGATACTATAAGCACTACATAAACAAGCAGAATTAACTATACTGACTCAAACAGTTTACAAATTATGTAAATAATAAAAAAAGAGGGAGGAGAGAACCAAGTTGGTCACACTTCTCTCTACAAATAAAAGAACTGAAAGGTTTAAAGGAGACAGACTGTAAGAACTCCATGATCCATAGATGGTTCTTTTTAAAACCATAGTTTACACATAGAGACAAAGTTTTCCCCTCAACCTTGTAAAATCTTACACAGATCTACAACTTTACAGAAGCTATGTCAGTAGCCCAGTCATTACTTTTGGTATCAGTCTCTCTTCACCACAAGGAAGGTATACAATCATTTAGATGGAAATGTAGAAAGATGTCCAGCAAAAAATTTGCCTTTAAAAAAAGCAGGATCCTGCATTTACAAACAGTTCTGCCCTTTTCTACTCGTCACCAAATTAAAGTACTTCACAACATATTCCTTTCTTGGTTTGCTAGTTCCTGTTAGTATGTCTGACCTGACTCTTCTCCACCAAAAATATAGTTTCAACAATCACAGATGAGAATCTTTTTGTTGTAGTAACAGAAAAACAATTAAGTTTTACAATTACATAATTTCTGATCTTTACCAGTAAAGTAACAAAATTCATTCATTTCAGCCCCTGAAAAAACAAAAGAATGGATGATTTTAAGACTGAAGGTCCAAATATATTCAATAAAGTTATCTGACCTGTAAATTATCAAAGCACATAGAGATATTATTAAAGATACATGCTTTCCAACTTCCTTGTCCTTATGAAAAACTATATTTGGCTTCCAAACCTGTTGAACAACTTCATGATATTCCGCTCCCATTCAAATTAGTGCATACTTCCTAACTTTTATCTACAAATTGCACTCTTATCAATGGATGGCCTCAATAAACAGTTTAGTAGTAATTACTCTTTGTCAAGTGTTTGTAGGTGTTTGTATGAGTAAATTTACATTCTTAGCAGATTTTATGATCAAGCAGCATTTAACACAAAAATAGATTTCTGTCTTACTAATGAAAACAGAATAAGACACATAATTTGAAATACTGTAACGGTGTCTGCCTTGCAAATTAGTAACTTTTGAGATGCAAGGATTCTCTGTCAAAATTGAAACCAACTGTATTTTCAAAACACAATTTTGCAAAAACATCTTAGCTGTCCTTTGAAGAATATTAAATTTGAATATTTGAATTTTTGAAGAATATTTGTTGAAACCACAAAGCACACCTTATTCTTCCCTTCATGGTTCCACAGAACGCTTGAAATTATTTACATTATATGATTAAATTTTTTTCATTAAAAAAAAAGAAGTGGGCCATGAAACTTTAGTTTACTAAAAGTTAAGAATAAAATGCACATTGTTGAGATTACGCATTACAATTTGTCTCTTTTTTAATTGAAAAAATTCCCAATTCTTTTAACGGTTTTACATTGCTGCTTCCCATTTCATACATCAGGTTTGAGAGACATCTCAAAGGTAGATATTATTTTTTCAAGGCTCACTCTCACAAAGCTCATTAAAGAAACTGCCAGGAAGAATAGCACCTGAATGGTACATAACAGATCCATCCATCATCGTTACTCCCCCTCATTCCCTCAACAGAAGGACACACCACAAACCATAACTGCATGGATGAAAAAAACTCTCCTGCAACACAAGTTAAATATGCACAGTTTGGATTATGAAATCTGATCCATGTATTTGCATGGAGCAGATTTTATAAACTAACAATTTTACTAAGTACAAGTAAGTATCTGATTAGATGAGAGAAATCAAGCAACCAAAGTATCACCACCAAAATTTAAACACAAAAATATAGGTAAAAGGCACCTATCAGAGTTATGATTACTGTAAAGAATATATTTCAGCTCAAATAGTACCACATGCAGGGTGCCATCCAGGGCCAATACCTGAGGGTAGTCTCAGCTTGTAGCTTACCACCTGTTGGAGCATGACTCCCTTCCTACAGGGCTCTCTCCAGCCTGTGGCACTGGCAGCAGAAGCAGAGCACACTTCACTAGGAGAGGTCTAATGTCACCCTCGTACACTGTGTGGAGCACTTCAGGGAAAGCTAGGAAGTTACATCTGTAACTCCATATGCTCCTAAAGCAATCCAAGTACAACTGTGCACACTGAAACAGGTGTTTCAGGTTTTGGCAGCAGAGCAGATTTATAACATAACTTGTATTTTAGATGCTGACTGGATTTGATTTTAGCCTGAAAGAAATGACCATATGCTGTTGAACTTCTCTGTTACGGCCAGCCATAGACTATCTCAACATCAAACAAATATTTGAACATAAGTATAGGAAAATATTTCTAAAGAAAAATAAAATATGTCCATAGCTTCAAAACTGTCTCTTAAAACGTGTTTTAAGTACATAAAAGTGAAAATAACAACAATATACCAATAACATATAAGATCACATTTGATTCCAAAATCTTAAGAGTTATACTTCTACAAAAGCATATTATAATGGTTTCTAAAGACTGAAACACACTGAAATGCAATTAGCATATCTTAGAAGCATGGTACAAAGAGCAATAAGCAACTTTTTTTCTCCATATATCAAATGCTCTTCTGCAGTATTTGCAAGCCAAATATCAAACCACTCTTCAAAATCCACACAACAACAAAATCTAAAAGTTGAATGCAACATGAGTATACTGGAGTATAATCTAACCAAAATTAATCTATTTTCTTAATCAAAATCTAAGAGAATAGCAAAATAGCATGAAGCAGCAGAAGGATTTTGTAAATACCTAGCTTAGAAATCTGAGCTATGTGGAAAAACTAACAGTTTTAAAATCAGGCTGTCATGATTTCTAACAGGATACTGTCTCTGGTAAACTACACAACCGAGAAGCACTTTGTTTTCTTATTACAAAATGCTGATCAGGTCCATAACCCTGAATAGAGAGCTGCATAATGGACAACTGTAATCCAGCATTGCCAATAATGAATGTAGCAGGAGTCAGTAGATTCAACACTTTCTGGGAGGAAAAGATCTGTATCCACAGTTCTGATACGAAAACACTGCCTAAACATATCATAATCAAATATTTTCGTCTTCTATCACACCAATGCAAGTAGAATAACCCATCTGAAAAGATAGTGAACTGCTCTAAACTGCACTGCTCTCTCTAGATTAAGTTTTTACAGCACAACAATATCTATTTGACAATATCCACAGCCAGGTTTTCTTTTCATGTGCATTTCTGCAAGACTTGACATTTACAATACTTACGCATTGCAATAAGGTTTCTTTTCATATCCTTTGTAGTTATTCATGTTCAGAGCCATTTTGCAAACTTCACAGTGGAAACATCCTTTATGCCAGTACTGTAAATAAATGTAAAGTAGAATTACTTATGGTACTGATATTTTGAAAGCAGTGTTAGGGTATGGTAAACATAATTACTTGTCAATATTTTGGCTATGCATTATACGTCTCTTAACTAAATCAAAATAATTACATTCATATGAAACCAAAGGTGCTTCTGAGACGCTCTCAGAAATGTAAATTCTCTGCAAAGGTGATTGCCAAGACCCCTGCATGCTGACCTTGCATGATAATTTTAAAGATAACTGAAGAAGAGGTTAGACGTTTTCCTCGTTTAAAAAAAAATAAAAAAATTTTAAAAAAATTAAAATTACGCCGCTTGCTACGAATGCAATACTACGCGAATGTAATCACTAACTAATGTGACGGCTGGCTTTTTGGTACGCCGCACAGACACTAAATTTAGCACGTAATACGGCATTTTCCTCCGGTGGCTTCTACCGCCTCGCCTCGCCTTTCCGGGAACGGTAATTTGGCGCATCTCTCACAGCCTCACTGTTGTTATTTAGGAAGCGGCCGCGCTGGGCTATAAGCGGTACCCCCGGGGACACCCCCGCGGGACAGGGCTGCCGCCGCCCCGCTGCCCCGGCCGCCGTCCCCGCCGAGCCAGCCACGGAGCCGGGCGCTGCCGAAGCCGCCCCAGCTCGGGGAGCCACCGACAACTACAGCCGGGAAAGGGCCGCCTGCAACTTCATCCCTCGGGAGGGGATGAAGCCGAGGGGGCCGCGGGGACCCGCCGCCGGCCCCGGGCACCGTCACCGCCGAGCGGGCACCGCAGGGCGCCCCGGCCGCTGCGGCCCCCGCTCGCCCCGCTCCAGCGCGGTGACACGGCGGCTGCTCCCGCCGGCGGTGACAGCGCGGTCGCCGGCGCAGCGGCGGCCCTTAAAACGCTGCATTTGGCACCCGCCGGCTCGCCCCGATGCCCCGCCGGCTCGGCCCTGCCCTGCCCGCCCCGCCGGAGCCGCGGGGAGCGGGACGGGCACGCCCGGGAGGCGCCGTCCCCGCCCGCCCGCCCGCGCCCCAGCACCTTGTCCAGGCAGTTGACTTTCTCGGTGGGATAGACCACTTTGCCACAGCGGGCGCACTGGGGGTTCATTCTGCGGCTCCGGCGGGGCGGCGGCTCCGGCGGGCGGCGGCGGCCGAGGTCGCGGTGCGGCGGGCTGCGCTGGACGGGGCTGCGGGAGGCCGATCTATCATCCCCTGCCCTGGCGGGGACGCCGGGGGTCCTCAGTGGCTGCGGGCGGGCGAGGAGGTCATCGGCGGCGGCTGTGGAGGAAGCGGCGCTCCAGCTGACTGCGGCTCGGCAGCATGTGCGAGTGGGCGGGCGGGGAGCCGGTGCTGCCGCCCCCGCCGCTCGCCGCCCGCCCCCGCCGCCTCCCCCGTGTGCCTGCGCGCTCGGCTCCCCGCGCCGCGGGCTGGGTGACTCACGCCGAGCCCCGCGCTGCAGCCGCAAGCCAAGCCAAGCCCACCGGCGCGGCCCGCAGCGAGGGGAGGGCAGAAGGGGAGGGCGAGCGCCGCAGCCGCCCCGAGCGGGGCGAGATGGCTGCGGGGGGTTCCCGCTGCGCCTCCGGGCGCACCTGCCCGGGGCTCGCCGGGGCGGGGCCGGCCCCGGCGAGAGGGAGGGAGATGGAGATAGATGGAGATGGAGAGCGAGAGCGCGGGGCAACGACGGCGCTGCCGGGGCCGCGGGGAGCTCGGGAGCTCCCCGAAGCGAGGCCCGAGGCCTGGCCCGTGGGCACCTGCAGGACGCGGCCTCCCGGCCATTGCACACGCAGCCCCCGCAGCCCCCGGCGGGTGCGGAACGCCCGTGCGTTCCAGCCCCGCGTCCCCATGAGTTTTCGGGCGCGGCGTTGCAGCCTTTGCGGGGCTGAGTCTGCCGGGTCTCACCAGCGGTCCCGCGGGGCAGCCGAATCGCAGCCGGAATGGCAAATGACGCTCCTCGGAGCCGGCTTTGGGCAGTCATTTCTGACTTGCTCTTGCAGCGCTGCGGAGCGGTACAGCAAGAACTCAGGCGGGTTTTTTTCGCTGAGGACTTCTTTAACTACCTGGAATATAAACCACGCTGAGGAAAGCACTTAAGCCAGTGCAGCGCAGCCTTTTCTGAGGGTTTTTTTCAGTAGTGCAACCCTCTGTGTGGCTCACAGCAAGGACAAATTCTGCACATACTTGGGTGTTATTAAGTAATCAGAATGCAGTCAGCTAAACTGGAATAGTTGGCTATAATTCTGCCTTAGCAACCTAACTTTTATTCAGTGGCTGTTTAAAGGCACAGAGAGAAACAGTAATTTCGTTGAAATTAATAATATATGTGATTAAATGAGAAACACCTAATCAGGCTTTAAATATTACATGATGGAAGTTGTAAAGCTGCCTCTGCCTCATCTAGCCTGAAACATCTGGCACCCAATGAAACTCAGTGTTGAGTGCTGCAAGCAACAGGAAAGCAGATTTGCAGGTAGTCCTGTAAATGTTTGTTGTCTCGTGTGGCTGTCTCATACAGTGGCAAATAGACAAAATGCTGATAGACAAATAGACAGAGTTTCTGTTCCTGTGATCTACATGCTGGTTCTTTTCAAAGCTGGTGCTAGCAACCTGCAGGTCTTAAATATCCTGAAGGAGATCTTTTTTTTTAGTGTTGTTGTTAACCAAATTACCTTTGAAATGGAATTTAATATTTGTCTTCCCACTGTTCCTCATTGACAAGAGCATGATAATTTTTCACAAATACCTCAAGGCCAAGTTGGCCTCAGTGTAAGATTTCCCAGACAGAAATAGGTGCACAGGCACCCTGCAGTGCCAATGCAGGGATTCTCATCCTCTGCTACCTCTGTGCTGTACAGATTACCTTACACTCTCTCTTGGGCAGTCTGACTGGCTCTGAACAATGGCTTTTATTCAAGGAACTCTGAATGCTAGGCATCTGAGTATGCTGATAAAGGAAACTTGAATACCCGGTAACTCAGTATTTTCTGTGGGAACTGTCCTTTGGGGATCCGTCTAAAATCCCGTCTGAGCTGAATTAGGCCCAGCACATAGGTAAGCAATCTCCATTCTGCAAAGGCTACACAGTATGGAGAAGCAGCAAGTCTGTACTGGGGATTGGGATGGAGACTGATTTAAATTAATCTCCAATAGGAGGCAGTGAATGTTACTTACACAGAAAAAAAATCTTTCTTAGATGACCTAATTCTTTCCTAGCTTCGATTCTACCGATGGCTTGTATGTGAAAAGACTCTGTAGCCCACTGGAAATAACTAGAGGCATACAGCTTATCCAATCAGCAAGTATAAAGTCTTTGAGATAAAGGTTTCATTCCTGGAAGTTCCAGATTATCAAAATCCCAATTAGAGCCTTCTCATGCAGACAAAAATCATTTGGCATTATTACTCTCACTCTCAATGTTACAGTGAAATCCCTCACCTTACTCTTGAAGGAAAAAACTTCTCTTAACCAAAAAATCAACACTAAAATGGAATTGTAACATCGATAGGTATACCTGCAGTTGGATCTGAATTTAGTGTTTCAGCAGTATGAAAACATTACAATATTTCTCATTGTTTCAGGATCCTTTTATTAACTTTTATTAGTTTTCTTCAGAAAGGAGAGAAATTAATGTCTGAATCACAGTCTTCATTTCCACACTACATATCTCTTTCCTCATCATCACAACTTTTTTCTGCTGCTACTGTAGTGAAAAATTGGTTCTTTTGCTCTATACAAACCAGTAGGAGAGAAAAATCTGTTTCACCCATCACAGTGAGAAAACAGTAAAATGTTACTCATCAGTAGACTTTCCTTTTTCTGGGTAGGTAATGATGCAATGGTAAAGTCCAGCAAAGCAAAATTCAGAAATACTGAAATGTCACTAACTAGGAGTGTAAACCAAAGACTGAAGCACAGAGGGGCAAAGACCTTGCACTCTAAAGAACTGCTAGCAGCATGGAGCCTGTGGTAGGTGGTGGACCGCTAGACAGGTTCCAGCTTTGATTCCCAGCTGGTATGTCTTGCCAAGTTTTAAGTGGCATCCCAAGATTTCAGGCTATTATACTTCTCTTTTCTGGTGCATTTCAGGACTGTTATCTAGCCTAGATAATTGAAAAGTGTGTCTTTAGCTGAGCAGTACAAATTACCAACACTTGCAAATAGATGCTTTTTCAGCATGCCTACAGTGACCAAGTGCAAAAAACCTTTTGGAGCAGCTGTGCTACAGCATTAGGAATATTAACTACATAAAATGATTATTACAAAAGTTCATATTTCTATGGCATAATACCCTCATCAATTGCTTTTTGTATTTGTTTGTTTGAGAGGAAGGTTCTCAGTGCTCTGTTTAGTTTCATTGATAAACATACCAATGTGTGCTTCAGAAAAACAAATCATTATAGTGAGAGGTATTTCCATGTTGATACTGAATTTCACCTGAGACAGAAAGGTTTCAAAAACCTGTTAAATTAGAAAGTTACCTTTGTTACTGGAGGTGACTTGACAACATCTTGAAATAGACAACCCACAGAGGCTTGTCGGTATCTCAGGTTTATATCTACTTCTTCTAAAAGGTTTCTTGGAACTTCCTCAGCTTTCTTTCCCACAAAATAGATTCCTTATAATCCATCTCCCACAGCTGGAGTTTAGATTTGTTGGAGCCAGCAAGTGAACTTAAAGTATGAAAGCAAAGCCTTCTGTCTTGCAAGTCATCATGCATTTCATAAGCCATACATAAAAGCTCAGAGAAAGTGTTTACTACCATTGGTAATCACATGAAGATGTGGTTTTTTCATCCAAATTTCTACAAATTGAGTCTGCTCATGAAGTTATGGTTGTATAAAACCCTATTGGACAAAATAGGAGATCATGTAAACATAGTGATGTATCATCTTTCCAAGGAAAAGAATGCAGCTTTCTTTTTATTCAGAAACATATTTTTGAATTTACATTTTATGGAAAAAAATTCTGTAGGTAGTATGTCCCAATTAACATCTGATGCCCACCTTACATTTTTCTGGAATAAATATGCCAATACGTACTTAGATCCTAATGGGCTGTTTTAAAAATACTGTTTGATGTATTTCACTGATTTTTCACACTTGGTCTGTTCTTTAAACAGGTATAAAAGGTGGGATAACTGGCAAATGAAGATAATGTACTAAAAATACTATCTGATTGTTGTAACAAGTTCATAACATTTGGGTACTAGTTCTTGCAGATAATAGGCATTTTTGTCATGTTTAAGTGGAAGGATGATCTCACAGTTAAGGCACTGCATGGAGAATTGCAGATGACATCTCTAAGCACTACTGCAGTACAGATAAATAATACCAGGAGAGTTTTGTGAAATTCTGTGGCTGTTCTGAATTATGTAGGAAGGGAAACCATTAAACCAAAATGTTGGTTGGCACAGGAATCAGCACTCAAATTTTTGTTCCTTACTGTTTGAGTTTAGGTTTAGCCACTTAGAAGAAGAAACTGCATGGTTACATTTCAAATAGAAACAATGTAACTTTAATGTGACCTTGTTTAGAGCTACCCAGGGTGCTGTTAGGGAAACGTGCTTTTAAATTCTCTGCTGTGGAAGCATAATTTATTCTTTCATGTGCAAGGGTTGGTGGAAGCATGTTTTCAACTTCAGCTATAGAAAAGCTTCCAACCAAAGCCAAAACAAACCAAACAATGGTTAGACTTTATTATTTTCTGCATATGATCCAAAATCCACTCTGCAGTGGAATCTTAATGTGCATTTTCAGAATTACTCAATCCTTAGCTGTTCGGATTAATCTAATAGGGCAATGAAATACTAGAACAAAAATGGTTATTCAGTCAGCAGCAACGTCTCCTCAGGATCTCCTTTCTTCACTCAAAAATCATGCAAACTGAATACCGCCTCCCACAGGAGCTACATGCTTAACAAATACACAAAAACATGATAATGACAAGTCAGTGCTATTTATAGGATCATGGAATATGTTCAGTTGGAATGAACCCATCAGGATCACCAAATTCAACTCCTGGCCTTGTGCAGGACACCCCAGGGATCCCACCATGTGCCTGAGAGCGTTGGCTGAACACTTCAACTCAGATAGGTTTTGTGTTGTGACCTCT